AAAAAAAAAAACGTTTAGTTTTAGTCTGCTCAATACATTTTTATCCTGTTCGGCCCGCGACCTAAAATGTGCTTTGAGTTTTGGCCCCCTGTGTCACTGAGTTTGACACCCCTGGCTTAGCAGACCCACCACTCAGTCATTTGTAAAACAGAAACTAAGGTGTATGCATTTCCTGTTATCGACAGTGGTTTCATTTCTTTATAACCACATCGACATTTCTTCAGATATATCAGCAAAAAAGAGCATTGACCCCAAAATTATTCTTATTAGTGTTTTCAATATCGGTCAATGAATCAGAGGTAGCTCGAACAAGCTAAGAGCACAGGCTTTACGTCAAATAGATCCAAGACTAAACACCCTTTCGCAACATCCAGTACCAGACTTAAGTCATTAAAATTTTTAAGTCAACAGAAAAAACGTATAAAGTATATACATTCAATGTAACAAGCCTAATTTCCAAAAACATTACTCACCTGTTATGTGTTCTTCCGCCTTCTGTTGAACTGTTGTCATATGACAATCGTAGACTAAACAGCCAATCAGATTTAGGGGGCTGGGTTAAAAGGAAAGGGAAGGCGGTGTTGCCAAATTAAGCAACAGTTTTCCGTTTATTTGGGTCTCAATTTCTTTAAATGAGCATCTATTTTGGCTATTTGTTGAGATTTAGTAGCAAATTCAGCTACTGCTTTGCTAAAATGTAAACAAATATAGGCTAAATCAACGGGCTTCAAGTTGTAGACACCAGTGTCAACATTATACTTCCAGTTCTTCGTAAATGTTTAGGCCTACATTTTTCACATAAAGTAAAATCTTTAATAGAGCAAAATACTTTATTGGAAAAGCGCTTCATTATAATAACATTATAATAATATATAGGATCATATTCGATACACAGATATGAGGAATAAACAAAATACCCTCGCCTACTATTTCATATCTGGCAACACTGAAGGGGGCGGAGATGCTCCTACCCTTTTAGTAATCATTTTCTCTTTATCTGGCTTGAAATGAAGCAATAACTGATATTATGGTCATTTTACGTCTTCGTGACTTCTAGTTGATGTGCGGGTACGTTTACGCTCTGACCGGCATAAAAACCATGCTTTAGTTGTGTTGTACCCGGTACTTTTTACCATACTGACTCTGAGAGACGAGGCAGTCCAAGTACATAACAGTGCTGATTTATTCCATGAACACAGGTAAAGTTAACATTACACGCTCAGGCATCTTGCACCTCCATACTGCAGCAGGCAGATGTAAGATGAAAGACCCCGAACCCACCAGGCCTATACATTATATCCCCTCGGTTGGGCTAGCCCCATACTACACAGAAACGTCAACCGAGACGTCTCTGTTGCCAGCTTTGCAGCTGGTCATAGCAGTAGTCAAAACATGAAGCAAATCAATGTGTGTGTGTCTGTTGATTAAGTGGTGTGTAGCTAAAAACATTCTCACGACCTCTAGTAACATGTCGTGACTTAAACATAAGAACATATTATGGCTAAGGCTACAGTTATACACGTCATAATAATAATATTAAACACCCTGTCTGCTGACAGTCATCAACTCTTCTCTCTAGTTATCCTTGACCAGATGTACCCTGTAGAAACTCATAAGCATGACTAAGCAGTTAACAGTCTAACTAGACATCCTATCTCCACTAAACATTTCTAATACAAAAAGTATCTATCCAATATCTA